TTGGCAAACTCTATTATCCTTTGCCCTGCTTCATTCTGTACTCCAAAGCCAAATTTGGCTGTTGCTCCAGGTATTTCTTGATTTCCTACTTTTGCATTCCAGTCCCCTATAAGGAAAAGGACATCTTTTTGAGGTGTTAGTTCTAGAAGGTCTTATAGGTCTTCACAGTACTGTTCACCTTCAGCTTCTTCAGTGTTACTGGTCAGGGCATAGACTTTGATTACTGTGACGTTGAATAGTTTGCCTTGGAAAGGAACAGAGATCATTCTGTCATTTTTTAGATTGCATCCAAGTACTGCATTTCAGACTCTTTTGTTGACTATAATGGCTACTCCATTTCTTCTAAGGGATTCTTGCCCACAGTAGTAGATATAATGGTCATCTGAGTTAACTTCAACCATTCCAGTCCATTTTAATTCGCTGGTTCCTAAAATGTCAACATTCACTCTTGCCCTCTCCTATTTGACCACTTCCAATTTGCATTGATTCATGAACTTAACATTCCAGGTTCGTATGCAATATTGTTCTTTACAGCATCAGACCTTGCTTCTATTGCCAGTCACATCCACAACTGTGGGTTGTTTTTGCTTTGGCTCTGTCTTTTTATTCTTTCTGGAGTTATTTCTCCACTGATCTCCAGAGCATATTGGGCACCTACCGACCTGGGTAGTTCATCTTTCATACTTTCATCTTTCATCAGTTCATGCCTTTTCATACTGTTCATGGGGTTCTCAAGGCAAGAATACTGAAGTGGATTGCCATTCCCTTCTCTGGTGGACCACATTCTCTCAGAACTCTGCACTATGACCTGTCCATCTTGGGTGGCCCTACACGGCATGGCTCATAGTTTCATTGAGTTGGCTCATAGTTTCATTCATGATTGCACATACACATTTGGTGCCCCAGGACTTCTCTCCTTTATGAAAGACATGGTGATGTTCAGAGGTAAGTGTCAGTTCAAATGTGGATGCCTTGCTTTTTTTAATGAGCTTGTCTATATTCTTGCTACTGAAAATGTGATCTGTAGACTACCTGGGTATCATCTGGGATCCAGTTAATGACACCCCACTCACACTTAATGAAACAGTCCCCGCCCCAATCTACTGAAACAGAATCTGCATTTGAATAGGTTCTCCAGGCCATGGGGTCACTAAGAATCCAACATGACTGAATGACTGAACAACAACAACCAGAGTATTTATATGAACATTAGAATTTGAGAAGCTTTGATCTTTGTGATTTCCTTAGTAGATAGAGAATAATAGAAGAGCAATACAGGAAATCCATACAATAGACATTCATAACATTCTTATCTTTATTCAACATATAGTATTTGAATATTTTGTATACACCATTCCCTCTGCCAAGAGCTAAGGACACAGCTATGAATAAGTCAGACTATACCACTGTATGTATAGAAGTTTCCATGTTCATAGATACTTTAGCTATGGTCCCCGCACTGTACCAGGTAACATAGGACTGCAAGAGAAGTGTAATTCATTTTGTCCAATACTTATAAACAATTAGTATATGTGTAAGTGCTATAGGAGCTACATGGGTTTATAAAGGTGTAGGCACTACCCATGAGGAGTTTCCATATAGCAGCAAGAAAGTTCCCAGCTCTTACAAACCATTTAAGTCAATAAGATGTACATACACAAAGTAGTTTGGGAATAATGCAAATATAATAAATTGTATCATATGAATTACAAGTGGTATTTCAATTAAAAGAGGGAAAATGTTCTTCAAGTATTGGTTGGTCAAAAAGTTCATTTGGGGTTTTTCATAAGATGTTCCAGAAAACCCTGGACAAGCGTTTTGGCCAACTCAATAATATTTAGATTAGGTTCCAGGATGAGACCTGAGATGGTTATTGAAAAACAAAGCATATTTATGGTAGTCTTGAAGAAAGCATTTTCAAGTAGATAGTTAAAAAAAAAGATAAGTCTAGATTTGGAAATTTGGAAACCATTGAGTTTCTTTATAAGAATATATGCAGTTGGATACATTAGGAAACAAACTGGGAGAGAGACCTGTATCTAGATTACAGAGTAAAGGATCAACCCAGTGAAATGTGGTATATCAAACCAGTGGCATAAAGGAATAGCTCATTTCTCTACAGGGGATTTCCCCATGGACAGAGGAGCCTGGTGGGCTTCAGTCCATGGGGTCGCAAAGAATCAGGCCAACTGAACAACACTTTACAGGGGCTTTGAAGATGTCTGACTCACATCTACAGTTGTACTAAGGTCCAGTCTAATGTAAAGACAGAGGTTTAGAAGTCAGAAGACCTGAAATTTTGCTTTTCAAAATTTTTCTCAAGTAATACTGTAGTAATGAACATCACAGTCCTCACTTCTTTTTCTGAAAAAAAGAATGATTTCATTTCTGCCACTGTCTCAGCAAACATATGACAATTCCCAGTCCATGTCCTTCACCCCTCCGCTCCAGAGAATTTCATACATTCAGCATGACTGTTTCTCATGGAGCTTGAAAATTGAGATGATGTGTCTTTCTGACATGGTTGCTTACAAAGCCTCACAAAGTACCTACAACAACCTTGAGTCCTGAATCTTCCAGGATAATTCTGTTTTCATATATTCTGTCTCAAAGCCTCTCAAAGTACATTTTTTTGTTCAAAGTAATCAAGTGGGGAATAATGAGCTTTGAAACCAGATAGATTTGAACCAGAGTTCAAATCATCAATTACCAATCTTCTCTGAGATTTAACTTCCATGTTGGTAAAATGAAGACAATATTTACTTTAAAGAATTGTCATTAATATTATAGATAATGTATGTAAGGCCTAGCACAGTACTACACAAGGAGTAAGCCCAAATAAAAGGTAGATTGTATAGCCATATATAGCTACATAAAATAGATGCTATTTTATATGTGTATGCATGTGTATTTTCCCCCGTAACCACTTTATCTCTGCTATAATTTTCTATTCAGTTGTGGTCAGTGCTCATTCACTTTCAATGAGGGTTCTGTTCACTTTTCAACATCCTTTTCTTTACCCCTTTTCACTCTGTACATCAAATCTGTCATGGAAAGGTCATACATGCCATGAATGAAGGTTAAGAAGCCTCTGAAGCAGTATCTCTCCTCATCCCCCTACTCATGACCATCTGTGCCCCCAAGAAAGAAATTACAGTCTAAGCATAGCTAAATTAGCTTGATGTTTTCTTTCTCTACTTCTCTTTTTTATGGGGCATGAGAATGAAATTTTATTTATGGTAGGTGCTCTATAAATTAAATAGGTGAATGACCATCTAATAGCACCATTTTCATTTATTAATTCATAGAGCAAAGTTGGTCTCCTGCTGTGTGTCAGTCATTGTAATACTCATGAGGTGCCAAAAAAAAAAAAAAAAAAAAAACCAATTACACACATTTGAAAGTTCACATTCCAGTGACAGAGTCAGATAAATATAATACAATGTGATAAGATTTATAAGGGAAATATATAATTTAGTTAATTCTAGCTGCTATAACAAAAAAATGTGCATAATGGTTCAAATATGATAAATATTTCTCATTCATATAAAGTCTGAAGTGGGTGACTGATCAGAGGGCAAATTCTCCTTGAAGAGATGATTCAGGGGCCCTGGCCCATTTCTTCTAGGCTATACCACCTCCTAAGTCTAGTGGTTACCAGCAGAAAGGAAATAGATAGCAGGAAGGGGCACATGCTAGCCTTCTGCTCACATTCCATTGGCTGTAAGGCAGTCAAATAGCCATGCTTAACTGCAAGGGAAACTGAGAAATGTTGCTGTGCGCTATGCTCAGGAAGAAAAGGAATCAGATGTGATGATCAGTTGGTCAGACTCGACCACCAGAGATAAGTCTAGAGTGCTGCTGGATGATGACTTTCTGAATTTGTGCAAAGCTTTTGAAGTCCTTGCTAGGAATAAGGGTAGAGGTATGGTGGGATGGGAAGTATCATAAGGTTACTTTCATTCAAAAAAGATATATTAAATACTTAAATCCTGCCAGTCATTATATTATATATTAATCAGAATAATCAGCTGCTGTCTTCAGGGAATTTATAGTCTAGGATCTTGAACCAGGAACTTCAGCATCACCAGAGAGGTTATAGGAGACCCACACCAGATGAATCAGAGGTGATTCATATGTACATGAAAGTTTGAAAAGCACTGGTCTAGGGCTTTTTATAGGAACCCCTCTCAGTTACAAGTCCCATAGATTTGAAAAAGTCCTAAATTTTACCAGGAGGGAAGCCTGCACAGGAGGTTGGTAGGCATGGGAAGGGCTGCTAAAGAGAAAGGAACTGATTGGAAGCCCAAGGTAGAGCATTAAGGGTGGGTTAATGGGGCTTTCTGGATGGGGCATCAATATCCACATGACCAACTCATCAAGGTCCTCACAGCGATCTATGTTACACTCATCTACATTATTCCATGTGATTACTTACATGTCCCCAAATGTAATATTGTAGCTAAACCTTCACACACTTGAAAATTATAAGCATTTATGAAACTGATGAATTACAAGTGTTTTCTCTATGCTGCGGGGGAAAAACCCCTTTTATGCAAAGCAGTTACTCAGTAGTCCTGCCCTGAATATTCTGTATCTGAATGTAAAATCGAAAACATAAATGCTGAATAAAACTATACTCCAATAAAAATTTTTTTTAAGTTTTAAAAAATAAAATTTTATATTTCCTAGTGCAGACATGTATAGAATTTCTCAAACTGCTCTGACACAGATACACTTAAACTGTATTTAAAATCTGACAAATCTGGACTGAAATTTATGCCAACTTTACCAGGTTAGGACTTATGACTTCATTTGCCTCAGACGTGTGCTATATGTTTAGCTACTTCACCATTACTCATTTTTCCTTCTAACTTCTCTCTCTTCTGCTCTCTTTTGCCCCCCTTGCCTCCTCTTCCTTACAAGAAAGTACTCTTGCTATTCATATGTCTTGGTAAACAGAATGACTGAAAAACTAAGATCTAAGCAGACAGTATCACCTGGTATAAGAGAAGATGGCTTGGAATTTATAATTAGAAGCCTATTTCAGCTTCCTTCATAGGACTGTTGAAATTATTTTCAGGGGTGTCTTGACTGCCTGAAATTGAATGTAATTGAGGATTTTTTTTCTTTTTTTTGCCCTCTCTTGTTTCCTTGGCAACAGGTTGGTGATGCAGCTGCTGAAATCCACTGTCTCCTTGGAGATACTGGTGTGGGCAGGTTGCAAACCATTGGTAATATCTGTGATAGATACTGAAACTGACCAAATCTTTTCATTCTAGTCATGCTATATACACATAAAGAAATTGACCTAATAGAAGAATGGCTTTACCGTATAATTTTTGGCATGACTCTCAGTGAGGAAAGTATTAATCCTTCTTTTTAAAATCACTTACCATTGCATACAAAACTTAATACTGAGCTCTTGAAATGTAGACTTTTCAGGTAATTGTACACATCACTTTAGTGTCAGAGTAACGTATTGCCAAATAATTATTCTGTGTTAATATAAAGTCTGAGAGAAGCAAGCAAGGAATCAGGGGACAGGACCCTCTCCTCTGGATTTTGTCAGGCATATGATCCCCCTTGGGCAGCTCCATCCAGCACCCACTTGCCATCATTTGAATTGTTGTTGTTTCGTCACTAAGCCATGTCCAGCTCTGTAACCCTATGGAGTAGAGCCCAGAGACTCCCCTGCCCACGGGATTTCCCAGGCAAGGACAGTGGAGCGGGTTGCCATTTCCTTCTCCAGGGCATCTTTCTAACCCAGGGATTGAACCCACGTGTCCTGAACTAGCAGGCGGATTCTTTACCCCTGAGCTATCAAGCAAGCCCCTTCCCTTGAATGACCTGAAACAAATCATGCCTGTGATATGCGGAGAATGTGTGATGAGATTGTAAGTGAATATCACCTGTCAGTGTTCCCCTCTAGAAGACAGGGAAAGGGAGTAAGTAGAAGACAAAGGTCAGATGGGATGGGAGCAACACTTAAGATGGCCAGAGGGACAGATAGACATGGCTATTGAAGTTGCAGATGGGTAAGGATGTAGGGATACAGGCTGACCTACCACCAAAGATAGAATAGCCTAGACACTCAAGAAGAATGAACAAAGACTTTACATAAACATGATAAACAGAGGGAGAACCAGGTATTAATTTAAAAAAAACAACATAAGATTAGTGCAACAGGTCAGCAGAGAAGATGAAATTAGACAACAGAAAAATTGCAATTGAATTCAATTGAAAAGAAGAGTTTAGAATGGAATTGCCTTATTCTTTAAATAACTGAATTCAACCAACAGCTATATTTATGTTGGGAATAGATCCAGAGAAAAAGAAAACTGGATAGAGAATGTGTTTAACCTGGAGATTATGCAAGGAAAAGAATGCTGAGAAAATATAGTGAGTGTGGAGGCTCCTGAGATTATGTAAAGGAGAAATAGGAAAAGCAAATGATGAAGTCAGGTGGACAAGAACACTGGTCATAAAATGTCAAAGGAAAGAAAATACCTACTATAGGCAACTCAACTGAAGAAAAATATACACTAAACATATGTAGTAAAAACATGTGAAACAGGTAATAGTTACTATGATGCATACTAAGAAGCAATATAAAAATGATAAATTTTTCACTGCCCCCATTGTGGCTTATGAAGATTCTAGGTGATGAGCTGCTCTGGAAGTCTAGAAAAATGTGCAGATAGCTTGTTTTTCATCCTCCCAGTGCTGGTAGTCCATTCAGATAGCAAGGAATAAATATCTTGGGAAAAGACATTTTCCTACAGTAGGTTTTTCAAGAACATGTTCACTCATCTAACCTTTTGCTGCCTCCATTGACATGAACAGCACAGCTGAATGAATCAACCATGTATTTTTCCTTCATATGAAGGGGGAAAAAAAAAACACAGCATAGGAATGAAATATAAAAAGAAAGAGTGATCAGAGAATTCTCTTAACTGATGTGGTTAGTGGTTAATTGCACAGGTTTTGGAGTCAGGTAGCCTGTGCTATATTGGAATCACTAATCTAGATTTTAAGAGCTGTATGATGTTGAGGGAAGTAATTAATTTATCCAAGCATCAGCATTTCTATCTCTAAAATGGTGGTAATAAAAATAATACCTATGTAATAAGTCTATCTTGGATTAAACCAGGAAATGCATGTAAAACTTATCACACAGTTCTTGGCACAAAAAGAAACTTTAGCTATTATAGTTTATGATGGTCAACAGACTTAACTAATTAAACTAATTGTGANAATAATACCTATGTAATAAGTCTATCTTGGATTAAACCAGGAAATGCATGTAAAACTTATCACACAGTTCTTGGCACAAAAAGAAACTTTAGCTATTATAGTTTATGATGGTCAACAGACTTAACTAATTAAACTAATTGTGAAGCCGTTCTTAAGCTTAACATCTGGATGGGACAACTATATTGAATAAAATGAAGTAAATATCTCATTTCCAATTCTTATCTGATAACATCTCTGATTCTACCTTTATATGCACAGCAGGGCTTGCTAAGGCCTTCAAAATCAGTCAATGTATTAATATTAAAATGTTAGACAATGATAGACAAATCATTCTTCTATTTTCCCTTGGATATTTCCCTTTTAAAAACAGTATTTGAATGTATTTAACTTCAGTAAATTTAAGCTATGCTGGATTTAGAGAAGCTCTCTCTTTTTAATCAAATGATGATTCATTATACAGATGCAGTGATAATTTTCAGGTCATCATTTTATTTATTTATTTTTCATTTACTTTTATTAGCTGGAGGCTAATTACTTTACAATATTGTAGTGGTTTTTGCCATACATTGACATGAATCAGCCATGGATTTACATGTATTCCCCATCCCGATCCCCCCTCCCACCTCCCTC